AAAATATAAATTAGAATATATATAAAAACTAAAAGTAAGGTTACGAAAAATAATAAGTAATATAAGTTGAATTACAAAAATAAAAAGTTGAATAGAAAAGATAAATTTGAATTCATAAAAAGATACAAGTTGAATTACGTGATACGTGATTGATATATAGCGCTTTTGCCCTCTAGCGTTGAAGATTCAACAGAGCTACGCTAGGTTTTCCTCATTTCCATCTAATTGGAACAATTTAATTTGGGTATAAAAGTAAAAATATGAGGAGCCCTCCACACGTTTGTGGGCAAGCCGCACGTACTTGTAGGCACAACATTTCGAAAAATGTTGCTTAAACCTCTATAGGCTTTGCTTAAACCTCTATAGGCTTTAATTTAAAAGGCGTGGGACAAAGAAAAAGCCTATACCCAAAAACTACAGTATAATTTAATTACTTTAAAGGTGGGTGATGGCTGATTTTAAGCTTAATTTCTTTAGTGTAAGTTATAATTACTATCAATATTGAGATATAATGTTCATAGAATCTGTAAATAAATATGATTAAAATAAAATAATATTTACCGTTCTATCACTTCAAATTTTCCACCGGATGAATTCCTAACAAAATAAAAATATAATGAATGTATGCTATATAAATTAAAATATATTACTATTCAATAACCAATATTTTAATTTATTAATTCTTATAATATAACGACATATAAAATATATCCTTCTCTTATTTAGTTTTGGTGTTGTTATTTTTAATCTATCTATCTTTGTGACCTGTAAAATTTCCAACTAATTTTGGTTATATATATATTTAAAATATAGCGGGAAAAAATAAAGAAAATAATACAAGATTTCACGAAGAAAATAAAGTTACATTGTGTGATATGTAAATGTTTTAAACATGAATATTAAAAAGAATCTGTATCTGTATCTTAAAGAAAATGAAAAAGATACAAGATTCTTTTCAAAATAAAGGATCTTAGATACAGAAACTAGTATTAATTAAAAATGTCAACAAGATACTGAGTACAAGATACAAAAGGATCTTGTATCTTAGATACAAGTATTCGCGGTACTGCCCAACTCTGCCAGGGATAAAAATTTCTGAACATTTTGTATAACTAATAAGCCATGATTTATATACAATGTAAACTCCGCCATATTTTAGTTTACCAAATTTTAACCAATTGTATTATATTGATAATTGTTTATATCAATTGTCTTTACTTTAAAATTGTAGATATTAAGTTTAAATAAAGACAATAAAAAAGCCTAGCACGGCCTCAGCTTATCAAATTGAATATGGCAGGAAACCAGACATTTTTAAAACAATATGATTTATAATTATATAATAATTTTAAATTTTAACTGCTAATATTTGAAATTATTATTTATTTGTTTATTATTTTTTTTACGTATTTTCACTTTTCATTTATTTTAGGAAAATGTCAAAATATTATGTATAAACCAAAAATGAAAAATTTTCCATGGATAACGCCAGCAATGCAGTATTTCGGTTTCAAATCAGTTATCGGTCAAATCACGATATTTTTAAAATATTTTTTGGGATAATGTTTTACACGTATTTTTAGATATTTAACCAAAAATGAACATTTTCCAATTAATGTTACTACCAAATTTGGTCGATCGAATATTTAGTAAGTGGTCGGTTTTGAGCTCGGCATTCGGTCAAATCATAATATTTTCAAAATATTTTATAGGATAATGCTTAACACGTTATTGTACAGGTATAAACCAAAAATGAATAATTTTCCATAGATAACGCCAGCAATGTAGTATTTAGTCATTGGCCAGGTTTCAAATAAGTTATCTGCTAATCACGATATTTTTAAAATATTTTTTAGGGTAATGATTTACATGTATTTATTGTTAAATAAACTAAAAAAACTCTTTCCAGTTAATATTACTACCAAATTTGGTCAATCGAATATTTAGTAAGTGGTCGGTTTTGAGCTCGGCATTCGGTCAAATCATAATATCAAAATATTTTTTAGGATAATGATTAACAGCTAAATATACAGGTATAAACCAAAAATGAAGAGATTTTGATCAATAACGCCAGCAATATGTGCCTTACAAATTTTCTATTATTTTTCGATTCTAAACCTACCCATTAATTAAATGTCAAAAATACCTATATTTTTTAAAATTTTTTTAGTTTTTCACATGTATTTACACCCAATTATAAAAAAAAAGCGTTATCCAATAATTATTCTGGTTTCCTAAAAATATATTTTCATATTTATGCATTTAACACCCTCTTATGGATGTATATTTGTTAACTTTTGTAATTGATAAATAAAATTTATGTTGTAATAAGCTAGTAAATATATTTTTTTCCCAATAATATTACGTAAAAATAGAATTTTAAATTATTTGATATTTAATCTCAATTTTCTACTTAATAAAAAATTGACTTATATACATTAAAAACAAAGTTTCTGATAATTATTTTTAAAAAATATTATATAATCAAATTTTTATTGATTATGATTAATTGCTTTTTAGCAATGCATTTTAACAATGCAGTATTTAGTCATACTCATCAGATCCATCTAGACTAATGAAATTAATACTAAAGACTGTCGATTAATGTATTTGAAGTGGCAAAAATTGAATTGAGTAGCGGCCATTTTGTGTTTGGATCCTTTATGTAAGAAACATATGATAATTTCATAAATTTCAGGTTTATTTTTATTATATTATATTTAAAATCTTATTTTTTTTACTAGATGAATTAAAAACATTTTAACATTTGCAATTTATTACTTAATGAATATCTTTAATATTTTATATAGACTAATCAATATAAAATAAAATCGGTATAGTAATAAGAATATAGTTTAAAATTTTGTCATTTCTAGAGAAGTTTATTGTTTTCTCTAATACCTCATGAATATCTTTAAGATTTTTCAAATATATATCTTATCAAGTTAGAATGAATATTTTTTATAAGAATTAATTTAATATTTTATGTTTATATATTCAATAACAAAAATCAAAGTGAGGAAAGATATATTATGATTTGAAATTTATTATAAAATTTAATATATTTTTTATATTTTAAGAAAATGATAATATATTGTAGTGCATATGGCTGTAACCAAAAATATTGTTCAGGAAGCAAAATTTCCTTTCATAAGTATGATATCTCAAATTAAATATTCAGAATTAAATCTAAAGGCAGCTTATATTAATAACCTATTTTTTCTTGTAAAGATTATTATGTCAGATTTGCTATGAAAATATTTAACAAGTTTTGTATTTATTTTTTTAGCAAATAAAAAGAGTTTATAATTTATAAGTCTTTTTATATTTTATATTCGCTTTGAATTATGTTATTCCTTAATAATTATAACTATCCATTTCTAAATATATTTATTTAAATTTAATTCACTAAAGCACAAAAATCAATAATGAATATGTATATTGTGAAAAATAAAATAATCTTATTAATTTTTACAATAATAAATACAAATAATATATATATGTTATATTTACTTCTAATAAAATAAATGTATTATTATAACTAAAAGTATATGGTATAAAGTTTAGTTTTTTCTTACAAATAATCACCATAATTTTTCCTTGACCTATAAATATTTAAGTTAAATAACATATTTTTATAATACTTGATTTATGCCCTTGAAAAGGTACAGGTCTGTTAAATATTTGGGTAAAATCTAATTTTAATTTTTGATTATATTAGGCAATAATCAAAACAGTATAACCATAATTGCTCTAAAAATGTTTTTTATTAATCTAGTAAAAATAATAAGACTATAAATATAATATATAATAAAAATAAACCTGAAATTTATTAAATTATCATATGTTTCTTACGTATAAACTCCAACACAAATTGGCTGATACTCAATTCAATTTTTGCCACTTCAAATTTGATTTTAGCATTACGATCGGCAGTCTATTGTATTAATGTTATTGATCTAGACTGTCAAATATAGTTTTTTAACATCTATAATTACAGTCGAATATATTATTATAACATTTATAATTATCAGGTCCACTTCTTTTTTAAACAAAGAAAAATTAAAATCACATTATAGAGAGGAGCTGAAAAATTATTTCGTTGCCCTATCAATATATAAATTTACAATAAGAAATATATTTTTTATTAATGATGACTTTCGATTGTATAGCAGGTATTTATCGGCCCTTTCATATGCCTCAAAGAATGATATTGGAAATTCATTTGATACCTTGGCAGAAATATTTAGAGAATTGTATAGCTCATCTGAGCTTATTTCCTGCTTTGAAAAGACCTATATCCGAGAACGAATCCACATACATTTTTTTAAATCCCAAATGATTTATTTTTCTAATAACTCTCTGTTTTAGATGAAAATAACATCCAAGATGGATATCCCGCCCTAAACGCATTTATCGGTGGCTGTTCGAAATCCACCAATTTTCCACGGATGTGCCCTTGGTAATATGTTTCAGCTCCTAAAATAAAATTTAAATGATATCTCTTAAGATATATATTATGATTACATTTATAATCTTTGCATATGAATTTTTTTAGTTAGTTTTTATTTGTGGTTATGCCGTAAAAAGTTTTCTTTTCCTAGAAGAAAACGGCACCACTTTTAGGTTTTTACACCATTTACTTGAAAACAGATTAATTTGGAAACTTAGTTAGACAATTTTCACTTTTAAAATTTTTATTTTTCTTTTCAAAATATTTAAAAATACAATTTTTTATAACATAAACGAAGATTGTGATGATTCCTTTTTTAAACATCATTTTTCACGTCTTGATTTTTAAGTATAAGAGTCTAAACAAAACTCAGCAAATTTGGAATTTAAGAATATAAAAAAGAGGATTTATAATTGCATTAATTTACAGTTATTAATCTCAAGATTAATTTTACATTACCAATTATTTTGTTCAAAAATTTACAATATATAGTGCTGTCTCATGTCATCCTTCCCTCTTAATTAAATTTGACAATGTATATCATAAGTGATAGTTCACTCGTTATATTTAGGTTTCTTCAGACATGATCGTTTAAGAGCTCAAAATTTTAAATATGGTCCAAGATACATTAGAATATAATAACATATCTGAAGAGACACTAGGATACATGGTGCGACAATTAAATTTTTTTAAAATATATATTTGCTTTTTTTTAGTATTCTGGTACCTTTAAATTTAAAAATAATGCTATCTTATTTAAAAACAACAAAACTGGCAAGATAGATCAAATATTTTGTACAGATATATCTATTGCATCATGGATACAATTATCAATAGGATTAGGACTAAGAATTAAAACAAATAATGGTAATTTTCGTCGATTTGGTGGATTTTCTGAACAAGTTTAAAATAATATTATTAATGTATTTAAATATGGTATAGGATAAAGATAAGATTGCAAAGTTTTGTGAATCCAACTATAGTTTAAATATAGGTGAAGTCAAATACTCAGTTAAAGGCCACAATTGGGGAAATCCACATTTTGATGGTATTAAATTTACTAATACTATATTTATCTAATTATATAAATATTCTATTTCTCTACCATTATATAAATATTCTATTTCTCTACCATTATATAAATATTCTATTTCTCTTTCAATCAAATTAGACCTAACTTTTAAAAACAATTTTTGGCCTAAATAATTTAATAAAATATCATGAGTTTTAGAAAACACTTGTTTTATCCATCTTTTTCAAATTATTTATATACTATATATATATAAATGTTTAGGGTCGATGCTCTCATTAGAACTTCCCAACAAAAGTGGAGATATTAATGAAACAGCTTTAGAAATACCATTAAACTATGTATCACGTTGTACTAGTGGCAAGAATGAAATAGCACTGGAGTTTCATCAAAATGATGATGCACCAGTTTCCCTTGTTGAAATACGATTTCATATTCCTTCATCAGAAACAGATCCTGATCCAGTTAAGGTATATTAGTATTACTCATACTTATGAATTAGATTACCTTACCCCAAAGGCAGGTTTATATTGTTTACAATAATGTATTATGACAAATTTTTCCAAAGCATAACTTATGTTATAATTATTACATTATTTTTACTATGTTTGATATGAAGTGATAACATTTTTCCAGCTGATGCCAATACTTGCATATTGGCAGAGGTCGTGCCCCCATTTGGGGGTAAATACAAAATTATATTATGGGATATGTGCCCCATTTGGGGGTAAATAGTAAATTATAGGCTGTGTGCCCCCATTGTGTTGTTAAACAGCTTGTTTTGAGCCGATTTTTAAAAACTGCTAACTCAATATTTCATCCAGAAAAATATTACGCAAGCCTGAAGATTTTGCTCATGGAAGGAACAAAGGTCTAGACATATATTAACAAAATTTCAAGGCTTAGATAATATTTTCTGGCTAAAATATTGAGTTAGCCATTTTAAAAATCGGCTCAAAATGAGCCATTTAACAACACTACCCCCATTTGGCTATAAATAGAATATTATAAGCTATGTGCCCTATCTGGGGGCATAGAAAATTATAGGTTATGTGCCCCTGTTTAGGGGTAAGTAAAAAAATTATATATTTTTATGCTACATGCCCTTATTTGTAAAAACTATCCTTATTTTTGTAATTAAACCGTTTTTTTGTAAATTCAAACATATTTTTTTTAAAGTTTTTTTTAAAATTATAACTGTTTTTTAAAAACTAACTTTTTTTGTAAATTCATTGAGTTTTTAAAACTAACCTTGTTTTTTGTAATCAAACCTGTTTTTTGTAATCAAACTTGTTTTTTGTAATCAAACCTGTTTTTTGTAATTCTAACATTGTTTTTTAAAACTAACTCTGTTTTTTGTTAATTCTAACGTTGTTTTTTAAAAACTAATTTTTTTGTAAATTCTAAGATTAAAACCAACCTAGTTTTTTGTAATCAAACCAGTTTTTTGTAAATTCTAACATTGTTTTTAAAAATGAACTTTGTTTTTTTATATTAAAAACTATCGTTTTTTGTAAATTCTTACATTGTTTTATTAAAACCAACCTTGTTTTTTTGTAATAAAGCTTGTTTTTTGTAAATTCTAACATAGTTTTTTTAAAACTAACATTGTTTTTTTAAAACTAAGCTTGTTTTTTTGTAATATAACCTCTTTTAATTATACATTGTTTTTTAAAAATGATTTATTTTCAAATATATTTCTAAAAGTTCAAAATTATTTTTAGAAACAAGTGTTCAGAATATATTAAAAATATTATTCTTGTGATATTTGAATTTTTATAATTAAATTTTTTTTTAGGATAAGTAAAAAAGTTACTTTATTAAATTTTGCACCCCCACCCATATTATTACTGGCTTAAATCAAATTATATATAATATAATATATTGTGACAAACATGAATAAGCTTTATTAATATATATTTTATATAATATAATATATTGTGACAAACATGAATAAGCTTTATTAATATATATTTTATATAATATAATATATTGTGACAAACATGAATAAGCTTTATTAATATATATTTTATATAATATAATATATTGTGACAAACATGAATAAGCTTTATTAATATATATTTTATAAATATAAGCAAAATATATAATTTATATAATCATTACAATTTATACAAAATGGTTTTTTAAAAATATTTTGGCAATGGAAATCTGTTTTTCAATTTTATCTTAAGCATTAATTTTTGATAATCTTGCTAAAATCCAAGCTGCTTTTTATATATTTGAAAGATTTGAATAGGCCATGGGTTTATTTTCTGGTAAATAAAATATACAAAGTATTTAAAAATTTTTATACTTGGTGTATTTCTTTGGATTCTTGCAAAATTCTATTTGCTAAATTAAAATAAGGTAATAAAAAAATATGTATAAATACCTGAATATTGCTAGTTATTATGAAATTGATAAATTCTGCCTGAGAATTAGGTTCTAAAATATTAAGTTATAAAAAAATTTATATGCAAGATAGTACTTTTTCCTATCACGATATTTTCTAAAGATATTAGATTATTTTTCTTTTTTCTGGACAATCCAATAACTGTTAGACCGGATTCTTTATGCCTGCCATGCCTTTTCATTCTAGCTCGTAATATTAGATTACATATTTTGCTCTCCATATTCTCTTTATCTAAAATAGAAAAAAATAATTTTTTGATCATATTTTAAATTGGAAACTAATAAAAGAAATAATTCAAAAATGAAACTACAAATAATGACATACTTTCATTATGTTCTTGTTGTTTATCTCTTTCCAAAATCATTTTTTTAACAAGATAAAATATTACTTTGTATAACTTAGATACTTTCTCCTGTAAGGCTGGGGTAGCTTTATGGTATGGAAGAGGTTTAGCAGTATCTGTAGATTTGAGAATATTTATAATTTTGTATTAATCTTAATTAATTTCTATTTATTGATCATATGTAAATAAAAAATGTTTACCTTTATAATATCAGATTCAGTAAATTCCATATAAGCAGGCGTGTACGCAGCGGGGGTGGGTGGCAGGGGGACAACCCCCCCCCCCCCCCCCCCCCCAAGCCAAAAAATGCAGATGCCGGATTATATTTTTCAAAAATATTATTGTTTATATTAATTTATATTTGTTAATATTTATTCCTATCTCATATATATATTTAATTACATTTATTTATCACATTTATCTACTAAGTTATTTTATCAATTAATTTCGATTTCAAGTTTTCCTTGACGTAATTTACCTATTATTTCCAAATTTTATTGGAGTATTATTTATCTAAATTTCTAGTCAAATAATAATTATCTCTGAAACTCCTTGTCCAACATGAAGAAAGAAATTGCAAGCTTGTCCAACCGAGTCTCCGCCATCAAGCATAACAGCTTTTATGGAGTTAGAAGAGCCGATTATTTATGCTATTACTGAAATATCACAATGGCTTGAAAAAAATATTTCCTCAGAAGTAAGAAAATTATTGGATTCAATACTTATTCCAAATTTTTTTTCTCATTAGAATGTATTATTTAATTATACAACTATTTTATGTAATATTTTTCAAAAACATGACATTTACTTGATTAAGAAGATGAGAATAGCGGAGAGCATTTTATTAGAACTCAAGAAAATTAGAACTAATGTTGATGAATAACATATTTTATATGTTATTGTTGAGTCAAAAGCAGAGCTATATGTGTTTAAAATTTGTCCCCCTCGACTTGCAGCAAGCAAGCTCATCGTCAAAACATTAATATAGGATCAGTAGAAGAGTATTATAAAACAAATGTCCCCTCTCTTAGATACATTTATAACCCAAATAAATGAATAGTTTTTAATTCATTAAGCAGCACTTACAAATCCGCAGATATTACTTCCACAAAAGCCTTTCCAACCTTTTTTAGATGGTGATAGAAAAAAAATATTTGTTAGATTTTTATCATGAAGATGTTAAAGTATCTTATGATGCCTCATTAGCGAATAACTATGATTAAAAGATTAACTATGGTTGATACAGTCCCTTGCATTATTTCAAACACATTTTAGATTATATTCCCAATGTATTAAAATGGTTATATATATTAGCAATTCTTCCCATTAGTAATCTAATGAGAGAACATTCTCTTTTTTAAGAAGAATAACAGAGCCCTGCAGAGGTGCCCTGTAAATGGTATAAAAAAATTTTCGGTCCGGGTTTTTTTTAAAAAAATTTTCAGACCCGGCCCAATGTTTTTTAATAAATTAAAAAAAATTATAATACGCTCCAGCCCGGGGGCCGGGCCTGCAAGTCTCTGAAAAACATACCTATGAAATACAACTTCTGAAAGTAGATTGAATGATTTGGATTTTTTGAATATTCATAAGCATTTAACGCCAAACAAGGATAGATAATTGAAAAATTAGCTCAAAACATACAAAATACAATTATTCCTAAGAAACTTTTTGTTTATTAATTTATATTTCCAACATTTAAATTTTTTATACTTTATATATAAATTTTAAAGGCTCAAAAAATTTAAATTTCAATTTTGGGTCATTTAAGTGATTCATATCGTGGTTATATTCACTTTATATTATAATTCACATTTATTTTATTGTTTTTCAATGCCGGTTTATATATATAATTTCTTTGTAATTCACATTAATTTAAATTGTGTATTAGAAAAGTTATTAGTCCTAATAAATTTATGCTTAATATTTTTAAATAAAAAAATATTTCTTAAAAAATTTTATTATCCCCCTTCCCCCAGACCAAATTCCTGCGTACGTGCCATAAGAGATTTGAGTTGATTCAGTAAATTCCTTATTAGAGATTTGAGTTATTTTAATCGCTATTATTTTTTGAATATGGCGTATAAATATGAAATGATAGGACATGTTGGATGACGTGATCTATCACTAATACCAAAAATAGGGGCACCTAGCTTTAGTGCACAGTATCAGGCAAAGTATTAATAGATACTTTTTACTTATCATTTTTGAAATTAAAAGTATCAATTAATTTGTCAATACCGTGAATATCGGTCCAAAACTTCTGCTATATAATTGTCAGGGATCTGCAGGCCCTGCCCTAAGCCTGGCCCAGGTACACGGCCCTATTTTAATTTTTTTATCTATACCTGGGCCGGTTCTGAAATATTTTTTTTAAAAAAAACAAGGGCCAGTCTAGGGCGAAAAAATTTTTCGAAAAAAATCTGGGTCGGGCCATACAAATGGTATCTCTGCAGGTCTCTGATAATTATCATAAAAACTGAAAATTAATTTTACTTTAAAAGGGGGAGGGGAATAAAATACATAATTTGAACATTATAAAAATAAAATAATATTTTGAGAAGACATTTCACGAAAGAGTGATGGAAAAGGCAAACGTCATTCAAGTGGTCGGGGATGCTATAGCAATTTTCACAGAAGCACAATGCTTAACCCCCAGGTTTCAATCTTGTGATAATGTTGTTTTTTAAAAAAATTTTAGCGAGTTATTTATTGAGCCATGAAACTATTTATTACGTTTGATTCTAGTCGAAATCGGATTTTCTGGATGAGGTTGAGGTTAGCTGGCCAATGAGATATGAGTTATGGTTAATATGGCTACTCACACCGCCTTTTTAAAAAATGTGTAATTGTGTTTTAAATTTATTTATTTGAATGTTTAAGGGGACGATATGATATTAAGCTTTATCCCACGTTCGCCCAATTGCATGGAAAATCGTTTGATTACAAAATTCCTTATTCTACAATTCTCAGGCTTTTTGTTTTACCTCACAAAGATCACAGACAAATATATTTTGTGGTATATGAAAATTAAAAATTTACTTTTTTTTGTTTTATTCTGTTGAAACATTTAAAAAATGGTTTATCTTTATTTTACTAGCATAGATTTGAACTTGTTATCGATTAGGAAATTGATAAAATATAATGCAAATTCCAGGGATGGGTTCGGGTACGGTTTAAGGTTAAAAAAATAGGTGGGTTTTCAGGAAAATATTTTTGAACTCGGGTTTGGTTCCGGGTTCAGCTCGGGTTTAAGAATTTTTGAATTGATAAAAAAAAATATTCTATATTGAAATCATAATTAAAAAACTAGACAAACATTTGGTATAAAAAATAAATTTTTTATTTTATTTATAGGCAAAATATAGTTAAAAATACAAAGCATAGTCATGTATAGATTAAAAAATTTTTATTTAGACGTATTTCTTTAAATTAACAATATCCAATATAATAATTTTTACTTTGACTTGTTCACTTTCATTTTCCTCTAATTAATAATCTCTGATAATAAGTTAAAAATTAAAATAAATAAATGAATTTATGAAGAAACGTGAGGGATTTATCGAAATAAGTTTTTATTATGCCTCAATTGATTATAGTTAAACCACATGAGCCAATATAATTCTAAGCAACTTTACATTAACAAAAGGTCATGAAACTAATATAACTCTCTGTTACCATTTTAGATAATGATGTTTTATAGAATGGACTAATAAGGAAAAATTTATAGGCCAAACCAAATTAACAATTCTTGAAGAAGAGAATATAAACGACCAATCCAAATAATACTATATGGTGGTTAGTCTTCTTAGATGACTAAATGGAAGCTAGGTTCATTATGGTTAAATTACATAGAATAAACGAATTACATTTTATGTTGTAAAATTATTTATAAATTACATTTTTATTATAAATCAAAAATTTATTAATCTTCCTTTAACAAAAGAAAAATGTTCTTTTTATATCTTTATCAAACGATCAACTAAATTGATTTTAAAGTTAAGAAATAAACATAAATTATAACGATAAAATAAAACGTTATACAAACTAAAAATAATTTCGCCAAAAGTTATAAAAAATAAAATCGAATTATTTAACATAATTGTTTAAAATTTATTAACAATCTAATAGGTGAGAATAAATTCAAAAAAATTTAAAAATGGTGTAAATGAATTAAGTTGTTTAAAATTTATTAACACTTCACTTAATTAGAAATTTGAAAATATTATAAAATGTCAAGTAAATTATTAATATTTGTATTTACAATTATACAAATATCGTATATTAATTTAAACAATACACTGAACCCAGTTGAACCCCAAATAAAATTCCCGGGTTCGGTTAGGGGTTTTGAATATATTATAAACGGGGTTCGGGTTCAGATTTTTTTCTCAAAACCCGGTTTTCTTCTCCAGGTTCAGGTTCGGTTCGAACTCCTGGAAAATTCAAAAAAATCAACCCCCCTTCCCATTTTCATTAATTTAAAATTAAAATATATAATGAATTTCGTCTGTATTTAATTTTCCCACATTATTTGCCTGGGTTTTCAAGGTAAATTTACATCTCTATAAATTAAATATTAAAGGCTATATAATTTATGTGTATATATACAGATCAGTTTGGATCCACCCATCAAACAGGGACAAACGCGATACCCCTTTTTGATCCTACTCTTTGAAAAGGATGAAGAGATCACTATGAAATTATCGTTGAATGAGTAAACGAAAACAATATTTTTTTAACGTGTTATGAATATTCATTTAAAAATGTTCCATATTTGTATAGGTCAATTCCCATTTACTTTCTATTGGCTCCTTTAAGGTTTAACACGGTCTAAGGTTTAGTTTAGTTAACGCAATTTTTTAGATCCGTTTTGCGGTTTTTAAATTTTCTTCAATAGTGAAAAAAAGGAAATGAAATATTTTGCAATTAATAAGACTGAGCCAATGAAGATCAGGCACAGAAACTGACTGAATACTATTCTTTAGATTCTGGTTTTGTTTAAACTGGTGTCCAATTTTTACCGATATCACTGACCTATTACCGTTTTTTTTCTTATAAGCCAAAATACTATTTTAATCAAAAAAAAATTGTAGAAATATTTTATTATCTCAATATATAAATTAATAAAAAGGAAACAGATTAAAGAAAATTATGAGGGGAAACTTTCACAAGAAATGAGCGGCAAAACATTCGAGATTTTTAGCCGCTTGATTAAAGCTCTCTCCGGTAACAAAATTACCGTTCCGGGAAATTTTAAAAGGTTTTAATTATTGAGAAAAAAAAATATGTGCATTCTATTTCGATGAAATATTTTTTTAAAAATATAAACTAGCTTACTTAGGTGAAGGCGATATTAAACGCTGAAGAAATTGAGCATTGTGTAGTCATTTTAATATAAAAGGATAGCACTAAATACTAGTTATAAATTATATTGGAATATTCTTTTAAACATAATACATATGTTTATTTCTAATTTAAAAAATTTTAATATAAAATGGTCGAAATATCCAAATTTTTTGAAATGAAATTTTTCAATGCTCTATTTTTAGCTTGCTATCATTTAACATTACGTACTCGAAATCTCTGATATGGCTTTTAGTCTTACTTATATAGCACTAAAAAATAATTTATTCGAAATTTACTTGTAATATATAATTATCTCCATTTAAAATTATCCTTCTTCGCTCTCTCGATATAGCATAATATTTTTTGTGATTAGCACAAACTTTTATATTTCTCAAAATCAAAATAGGACTCTTCCATGGATATAACTACAAAATAATTGATACCAAAATATCTTTAAAATTAATGTACAAGTAATTGTCAATTTTTTAAAATAAATATTATATATTCTCGATATCCATAGTCATAACGGTAGTAGTTCCTGCATAAGCTGTTCTTACAAAGCAGCCGCTGGTTACCTTTATCCGCTAGAGCGCTGTTTCGTCTTTGTTCACAAGCCCCCTCTCGCTATTAGATTCGACGAAGTTGCTTCAGTCAATTTCGCTAGATCATCGGGGATGACAACTAAGACATTTGATTTCGAGATCGCCACCAAGTCTGGAACTGACCATGTGTTCAGCAATATTGCTAAGTAATAATTATTAATTTATAAATTATGAATAAATACCAATTCGTTCTTTTTTCAATGACAGTTGATGGGTGAGGAGTAAGAATTCCAAGTGAAGCAAAGGTTTGCTGGTTTGTTCCAGGTGAGGCCAGTTTTTTGCCAATTAAAGCAAGATATTTCTGTGCCTACGGGGTATGATATTTAGATCAGAAGCGATCACATGATTTGGAGCGTTAAAAATAGGCTTGAAAAAGTTTGGCCAAATTGTAAATATCAGTTACAAGATTGGCGTGGCGATGATTTTACGTGGATCTAATTGATATGCCATTTATTTGAAAATTATAATTTTATTAATATAAAAACAAAAGGATAGGATTATAAAACATGAATACTATGATTTTATGACATTTTTATAATTAGAAAGCATGTTGTTGGTCTGCAAAACGTTGGTTTTATTAAATGGCATATCTATATTTTAATTTTTTTTTACAAAAATTTCTGAAATCTAAATTTTATTTACTAATTGTGTATTATCATATATTATCACTAAATTTAATATATATTAATAAACAATATTTAAAAAAATGTAATTTTATATTAAACCCTGATTTCTTTGGTCGATCAACCAACTTACCTTGTTATGAGACACATACTTTGGTTCAAAAATATTTTAAATTAAAAAAAAAGATTATTGGCTTGGTTTTAACTACTTGCCTCGGTCTCCCCTATTGCTAGATATTGTATAATTACTATTTCGTATATTATAAGGTTATTTTAATTTTTAGTACATTAAGGTCATGAAAGTTGTTATATGTGAGAAAGGAAGTATATTAAAACCCCAAAGCGCAACAAAATGAAAATAAAATTTAATGTAATTTGACAATATTCCAAAAAATCCAAAATACTTTACCTCCCACAAAAATTTCTTTTTTTTTCAGTTTCATGCCAATAAATATTTTATATATTTACCGCAAACATAGAACTTTTAAATACGAAAAAAAAATATCCTACCATTATTATTTTTTTCAATAAATATAACATCTAAAAGTGAAACTTTGCACTATGAAAAATATAATATTTTGCATATACGTTCTGAACGTAACGCAAAAGCTTAACGGGTAGTTGATTGTGGGATGGATCGACTACGATCGGGTATTTTGGGAGGCGAGGACCCCGTTTCGGTTTGGCCGGCATGTAAGGGTTTTCTATCGTTTATTTAGGTGTTAAGAGATCATCATGACACATAGGCAAATTTTGTATGCAATCAGTTATCCTTTTTTATTAGCCAAATTAATGTTTAACAGAACGCAAAATAAATGTTAATAATACCATTAAATGAAAACCAAAATAAATATCATTTTTTCAATCGATGGGTAAGGTAAGACAAAAATGTTAGGAAAAAAAATTGAATCCATTATGTTGTTTTTGTTTGTTGCTTATTGAAATTTTAACTTATTTCTAGTGGTGTTTTTTTTAAAATATATATATAAATTGAAACATAACCTAAAGGATACAAAAATATGTAACGATATAAATAAAAACTTACCGACGTATTTCTTTTCAAAACCTATTTTGATAAATTTAATTTTATAATTAAAATTTTTTTTTTTATTTTTTCATCTTTTATTTCTCCTTTGTAGATAAAAATTTTGTCTTTATATACAACTTTGTACATTATATATTTGAATATAAAAAATTAATCTATTTTTATTTTAACAAGTAAAAAAATAATTTTAACTAAAAATATATTTTTAAGGTAAAACAAGTAAACATGAAAAAAACTTAATATGTTTTACCAATGCTTAGGTATATAAAAAAAATAGATAAATTAAACAATTGCATCTTTAATAGTATATTACATCCAATGGTATGTCAGTATGCACGAATTATTATTTATTATATTAAGATGTTGGTACGAAATTTTATAAGCAATTAAATTTAATGCTAATACCGGAATATTAGTATTTAACAAAAAAAAATGAGAAATGCCAAAAATATTTAGAAAGTAATTGAAAAAAAAGTTTAGTAAAAAAATACGAAAAAGTTTAGAATATAAGAAGATCTAAAAATAATTAAGCAATTTTTTTTATTATATTTTATATTTTTTCCTCGCCTAATTTTATATAATTAAAAATAAAATCCAAATTTCCTACTTTTATTTATTTTAAAATTTAAAAAAAAGTATGCAGAACGCTAATTTCTTTTCCTAATTTAATATTTTTACACCAAGTCTAAAATCTTTTTAAAACATTCTAATTATTTAGAAACTATTGAAAGTTTTAAAATTTTAGTAAAAAAAATCATTATATAATTAATAAGACCAACGTTCTGTGAACCAACCATAAGTAAGTTCTTTTTTAAAAATAAATCGCAACTCAATTAGATCCGCTCTGTATTGCGGTCACGCTGATAACGTGATACCGTAAATCTCATTACCCGAATCTTATATTTAAGTGGTTGAATTGGTTCACAAAAAATTAACTTTATTATACCTTTTGTAAATTTTATTATAAATGAATAAATTTAAAGATGACTTAGCGTTACGCAAAAAAAATAACTTCGTTTTTTTTAATTAGAGAAGAGTATTCGAGTCTTTACGATTTCATCAAGACTAAAAATTTGATCGTCCGAAACGTTGGTGGAAAATTAGTAATTTATTTTCTTCTTATATACGAAAATGTTTTGAACATAACAACGAATATATATACATAAAAAATTTAATATTTTTTCAAAACTGAAATGGGCAATTATTTATTTGGGTAGGGGGTTGGTTAATGTCATTGTGGCCTTTGATTTCGACTGACTTTTATTGGCATTTTGGTTGTAAAGTACATTAATATTTATTATATATATCTTTAACTATCCTCCTTCCAGTCTTCCTCCGACAAAGTTGCTCAAGAGAACGATTTTGACGATGACGATGAACCAGACGATCCTTACTTGAATCGAGTCAAAGCCGAAGCTGACCAAGAAGGTTTGTCATGCCCCATGGGTTCTATTTTTTTTACAAAATTTAATGAGACTCATATTATCTTCGCTAAGAAATTAAGGGCAATCGTTATATTTTATTCTGCTATGGCCAGAAAAAGGAACTTTTCACTATTATTACAACTTTATAAATATTTTTCTGGATTATCATTTAAACTCAATTAACTATCCATAAATAAACTGGGCTCGGGTTCCCAAGCCTAATTTCTAAAAACAATCTTATGTGTTTTATTCTCAACTTGTTTATTCGGGTTCAGACGAGTTTGGGTTTGTTTAGTTTACCCATTTTATATTATACTTATTTAAATTCTGTTTTTTAAATATTATTACTTAACTTTTTAAGATGAAGAATCTCAAGATGAAGATTTCGCTCCTACTGAGGATAATGAAGATGTGGATGAGGAGTATGTTATTTTTAATGCCATGTTTAGATTATTGAAACTATATAAATTAGAGACCTGCAGAGTTCAAATATTAGTGCTTACTTGGATCTGGAAAAAAATCATTCTTAAGCCAAGTCCTGGATTTGTTTAGTCCAGTCCAAATTTTTAATTTTGATCATATTTTGGCCTGGATTGGAATTTCCAAAATTTCGTTATTTTCGATAATTTATTAAGGAAATGAGTAGTAAATATATATTAAATGCTCCATTATTGTCTAATTAATTAATTACATATAAATTAAATTCCTTTTTTTATAAGTGACCTGGCCCGGTAATTAAAAAATTAATTTATGATCTCCCCAGATTAAAAATATTTTTTAGGCCCAACTCAGATTTTAAAATCTTACCATTTTTCGGCACGTTTTTGGCCGGGTATGCAAGGCTCTTATCTCAACATTATTATTTTCTTAACTCAATTAATGTCGTCTTGCGGTTGGCATGGCCTGCTTACCTCAGTCAATGTACACGCCAGAGAGCAGTAAATAATAGCCATCTTTTCTCTACACGCAATTATAGTTTCCTGTTCAGTCTATCTGACCATCATTTAATCATGTTTTTCGGTTTGTTCTAGGTTGGCTACTCTACTTTTACAGGCCATGTCTCTGCACTATCATATGTTATAGCTGGGAGAACACCTAAATTAAAAATGTTTCCTTTGATTTTGAGTGACATATTTATTGGTTATAATTAAAGATAAAAGATAACTCAGAACTTTTTTCAACCACATTTAATTATTGTGATGACAAAAAGATTAGGATATACTTTTTGGGTATTCAAGCATAACACCTAGGTAATAAAATGATTCACCACTCAATTATATTGGTAATGGTATAAAAATACTACTGGGGCAGTGAATGAAACTTTTGCAGTTAAAGTTTATTACTGATAACAATTTACAAGTCTGACTTTTATGAATTCATATTCGCATAAACAACACTGAATAAAATTTCCTCCCAAAGTTTTTTGAACAAACTCAACATGGCCAGAAGCATACTGTATTTTCTGTCATTATTTTTCATCATTATTTTTCATCATTATTTTTCATCATTATTTTAGTTTTGGAAAAATTGATTTTTATACCCTTTGCTTCTGGTGCGATTAAAACCCATCCATATAAAATTTTTAGTTTGGTTTGACTTTATTAAGACTAGATCTTCCATGTATAAGATTTCCCATAGCATCCCTTGGTGTATATCTTCACAAAGGGCCCATTGCACAAAATCCTTGACACCCTACGAAACGTTTTTCTAAATCAATAAAGAAGTATAACAACTTACCTTTAGCCTGTGTTTTTCCTAGACTTGGCATACCATGAACCCACCACTTTTTGTTTTAAATTTTTTAACCCGCTTGCCTCCCCTGCCCACATTTGTAAATTCCCCCCTCCCCCCCCCCCCCCATTTATGTGGAATTGTTTAAACTGCCCACCCAATGATCAAATGTCTTCCAGTTAATGAATAAATACATCGCTGAACTTCGCCTATATAAAAATAATATCGACATAATAAAAATGCCATTTAAACATTTACCGACTATAAAATTTTCTCGAATAACATCAATCACGACAGCTTGATTAATTGCTAGAATAAATTTTGAAATATTATGTGATTATCAGTCAATTTTTATTTAAATAAAATCTTATGTTATCATGATATGATTTATGTCCTTAAAATTATTAATAGATTAAATTAACATGAATAATATTCTCAAGATAAAAAAATTTTTTTCAAAGTTAGAAGTCTACAATAATTTTTTTTTTAGCAAAACCGTATTATATCTTCTTAAAATGATTTTAAAAAAATCTTTTAATCCTACAACATATATTCATTATTTTACTTAAAATTAAAATATTGTTCTCTTTCATCTTTTTATTCTTAATTTATATATAAATTTATTCGTTTTTTCCCTATAATATTTGAATATTTTTTCTCCCACTCATGGCAAGGTACGATAGTAACGCTCAATCATCCTCGGCCGAATCCGTCACCTCGCATGTATCCGATTCTCGGTCCAAGTCAAAGACCCCCAATAAGGATAAAAAAACTCATAAAAAGAGTTCTATCCCCGATTCTCATAAAAAGATCAAAACGATGGAACGAACCGTCAATGATAATGTTCTAGAAGATAGCGACGAAGAAAAAGACGTTAAGGTTGAGCTGCCTAAGGCAACACCAAACCCTACCAAAAAGGACTCTACCAAAAAGTCTTCTACCAGCGGAGGTGCTGCATCTTCTAAGGTTTTATTCAGTTTGAAATTTATGGGCCTTGAAAATTCTTATATTAAATAAAAAAAAATCCTGGAATTTAACGTTTAATTTGTTTTCCCCTAGGAACGTTATGTTTCTAAGCTGTTATTTAAAGTTAATTTCTTAGTTCATTATATCCTTTATCAATAAGGACATTATAATATTGTTTAAGAATATCATGTATGTGCGTTGGGAATGGGGAGAGGGAAAAATTTTACTATTTTTATAAAAATAATATATACTATGTTTTTTTATAAGGTTCGTTTTTTAAATTTAAAAGATTTTGCCACTCCCTGTAATGTTTTTTAGAGATGCACGGATAGCATCTTTTTTATTGGCACTAATACTTAATGAAGTGTTTAATGTTTACTATAAAAATACCTAAACATTTTTTTCTACTTTTTTTGGGATGGATTTTATTTTATCTCTAAATATAAATCTGGTTATACATGTTTTTCTCGATTGCTCGAAATATTTTTTTCAGATAAAGATTTTATTTAAACGCTTGGTTAAATGAATTAAAACAATGTATTTTTTATGTATATTTAATCGCATTCGAATATTAGATAGATGTATTATAAAGTGATTGTCTACGGGTTATGTTAAATATCGGAAAATTTGAGAAGGTGTATAACAAGATTATAGAATTATAGATCTGCAGTCACTTCATACTTATATCCCCAAAACGCATTTTATCATTTGGTGAACATACTATTTTTTACCCAACGATTTATGGTTTTAAATGAAAAATCAAACTTAATATGAAATTAATGAAATTCGTTTAACATTATTGAATTATTAGTAAATTTTTTTCTCTTCAAATATGCTTGAATATTTATATTTTAAAATATATGTTTTTTTTTAGAATTTTATAATTAATTTATAAATATACTATAATATACGTATTAGAAGAATAAAGAAAAAACAACTTCCAAGAAAAAGAAGACTAACAAGGATAAAGATCCTGATCTACCCAAAAGGCCTTTGTCCACCTATTTCATGTGGCTACAAGAAAATCGCGAAAGGCTAAAGCGGGAGAACCCTAAAGCGTCGATCATTGAAATAACTAAAATTGGCGGAGAAGCGTGGAGAAATATAACGGATAAATCGGTTTATTTATATATTCATATTTTTAGGCAACAACTTTATTTTTTTACTCCTGATTTATTAAATACAGAGATGTACATTTATCAGCCGATTCTTTTATTCTTAACTGATACAATTCGATACGAAATAACGATTTACCCTTAGAAATTTTTTTTTAAATTGACCTTATCACTAATTTAAAAATATTGATTTACGAATTTATAAAAAGATTAAAAAAGAAAGAACGCGTTAGAAGTGTAAAACAATAGGCTGCAACTGCCTATACCTTAAAATAATAAAAATTTCTTTGGATCTCATTCTATTTGAACATAATTTTGTGGGACTTATTCAAGTTTGGCATAGCCTCAGATATAAATTATGGGATTAATATAATATATTTTTTATAATTTTATTTTTTATTGAATTATATTATTTTTAAAAATATGAGATATGGAGACATTTTTAAAAATAATAGAGCATCAATATTACATATCGTTATCGGAATGGCGCGATATTGGACGGCTGATATTTTTTATAATTTAATAAATTTAATTTTTATTTTATACACATTTTTGAACTAACTTTGCCTTTCTCGTAAAATCTTTATAACTCCCATAAAGAAAGTTGAAGAAATGCATCATTATTTTTTTGCATTTTTTTTGACGATGAAGTAAAGTATATTAATAAACTAATAAGAAAAAAAAATACCCAATTTTGTGTAATTATATTTATCTATTTTCTTTTATTAAGAAAGACTTATATGAAATAAAAATCGAAAAAATAAAAATATTTAACTATATTTATTATTCTTTAATAATAAAATAAGACATTATTTACTTTATATCATATAAATACAAATCTTTTCCTACAAATTTACAGAATTAGAGATATTTTTATAAACGTTCTAAGGATGTGCCCTTTGTTCGACTTATCATTAAACATTCGTCGACTTAAAACAAACCAAAACAGGGTGTTCTAGTTCAAAAGCTGTTTAACATTAAGTATTAAAAACAAGTCGAATTAGGACACAGCCTAGCACCTTCTTCGTGATTTTGAGAACGGAGATTGGTGAATATTCTTATTAAAACGCTTTTTAATAAATTTTATTTTAAATTTCTAATAATTGCATAATTTAAAAAAATATATATTTAAAATGACAATGAGTAAATATTGGTATTGGTACTGTTTGCGATATATATCAGATCTATGAAAAAATTGTGTATCGGTGCAGCCCTATAAAAAGAATTAGTTTCTAAGAACCAGAACTGTAGGATCCACGCCTAATGTAAGTATCAAGAACCAATTCAGAATCCTTTTTTAATTCAGGTTCCGAACTAACTTATTCATGTTACACGCATCAGTGGTGTATCAAACATCTTCACAAACGGTGGGGGGGGGGGGGTAATTTTACAAATTAAGAGTCCTTATTTTTGCGTTTGCCATATACATATTTCCCTTTTTATTTTTCACACTCAGAGATGGGAAAAATTGTCGCTGAAAGCAAAGGACGAATATATTATAGCCATGAAAAATTATCAAGCAAAAAAAGCTAACTTGTCATCTAAGTACAAATAAAAGAACAAGCTTAGGTTACGTCCTAGCTCTTCTTAATTTTGAATTCTATTAGAAAAGCATTCCTAAACACCATTTTTTTAATATACGATTTTAATAAAGTGATGATGATATCTTTAAAATACGCATAAAGGCGTACTTAATTCTTATTTTCTTTTAAAATCTAAAAATCACTATATAACAACTTCAGAATTGTTTTTAAAATAAAAAAGACGAGCTAGAACGCAGCCTGCACTTTTTTTAAAAAAAATGTTTAATGCAAAAATTATAAAATAATGTTTTTTATTTTAATTTCTCGTTTTTTTACAGGACAACCGATAACGTACAAACAAAATCTAAATCGAAAAGTGACGATGATGGCGACAAGAGCAGTGATTTATCATCTTTAGATGATTGACATTTCTGACATTTTGGGTTTAGTTTTTACGGTTAAATTAAGAAATGAGAGTTCTTTCATTAATTTATTCAGTGTTTAATTTTTTTTTAAAGTAGTCAGTGCCTAGCTATTGAGAACCATCATATATTGCTATAACCTTTTCCTTTGTTTGATGCCCGATGGAACCAATATTTTTCCGAATCCAACCTCTTCGATGAAGTTAGGGATCTGGGGGTTACCCACTTAACAAAATATACAAAGTTAAAATATTCTAAAATTTATTCTGGCTTGGATCTTTGAAAAGGAAATTAGGATTGGTCGGACAAAATTTATTGCTTAGAATAAGTCCAATAATGCAGGCTTTAAGTCTTGTTGATATCATGCATAGCATATTAGACAGTTTAATTTTTTTCTCTAAACCATTCCGGGGCACTGCTGAGTTTGATGGCCTTGTTTATGTCCTGGGATCGTGCCAACTGATTAAACAACTGATCATATAAAGAGCCAGAATAAAGTCAGAGAACTAATTGTAAATTATTTCTACACGATAGGCTAGAATTATTTAAGGAGATTAAGATAAACTCTACAATCAGTAGTTAACATAAAAGAGATATAATTACTTTCACACCCAGTGGCAAGGAATTGTGTGTAACACAAAATAAGAGAGAGGTTAAATCGACCAACCGAACGCCCCTTACCAGAAATAGGATATACATCTATAATTTTTATAATAAACTGAAAACAAATTGCAAATAAATGACCTTGATCCATATTAATTATCCTAAATTTTTTTAAAAATATCTACGATATATTAACACATGATGTCACCACCAGGGTTGTCACGTAAAAATTATTTGATTGTTTTAAATTTTCGTAAAAAATTTTGGTGGGAGCTTCGCTACAAACCCCTTTTTTCCGACCTCCAGCCGGTTTATAATCATAGGCTAAAAAAATACTAATTAATTTTCTAAAATTTTTAAAATAAAAATGGGATTTTTCGTATAAAAGTTATTAATGTGATTCTTTTATCATTTTTAAAATTGATATAAATTAGCTAATATGGTATGGCCCCGTCATTTATTGGTTATCAGATAAAATATAACTAATTTAAGGACAGGGTATTCAATATAAAGAGACAATTAAATTCCTTGACTTCTAAATTTCTTTTTTGGGCATAATTAGTGATACGAAATTGCTTCGAAATTAAGTCCTTTTCAGATTCCCGAGATTCTAGCGGGGAAATAAGAATAAATAGAAAGTTAAACACCCAAATATTATATATATAATGCAATCAATATAAACAATATAAGTCTAAATTGAAATAATATATATTATTAAGAGTAATATAAGATAAAAGGATTTAAAAATCCTCCCCAGAATCAGAAGTACATTCACTAGAATATATATATATATATATACCTCTATTAATTATTCCCATTTTATTGGATTCTGCAAAAATTTTATGATGTAGATGTTATAATGAATTGAAACCAATTTTTTCACTCTTTCAAGATGTAGTCGATTTCTTATCTTTGATTTGTGTTTTTTTTTAAAGCAGACCATAATCTTTCTAACCAGATATTATTCCACTAGGAAAAAGTTATTTAAAATTTGGCTGAAGATTAAAAAAAAAGGTAAAAAAAACTGCAAGAAAAATAATTGCCTTATATTTGTAAAAACTAAACGGGGAATTCTCAGTAGTGATCTGCATCGGGCTTAATTTTTCAAGCCCGGCCCGAAATTTTTTTAAAAAAGTATTGCTGGCCCGGCCCAAACCCGAAATTTTTTTAAAAAGTTTTGCCGGCCCTCCCCGAACCCGAAATATATTTTAAAAAATTTACCGGCCAGGCCCGAATTTATTTAAATATAGAAATTAATTTTTATAATTACTTAAAATAAAAGACATATGTTATATAGCGTTTAGTTTCAATAAATTAAATAAAAATTTTTATTTTACATAAAAAATTCAATATAAAATTGATAAATTTAGATATATTTAATAAAATTTCCAAGGTCCGACTCGACCCGGCCCGTATTATTTTTAAAAATATTAGGCCCGGCCCGAACCCGATTATTTTAAATAGAATTAGGCCCGAGCCTTGCAGATCTCTAATTCTCAGGGAAAATAGATAATTTTTCGATGGAAATTTTGGGGTATTTACCTTATGCTTACATCGCTTTTTTAGAATGGGCAAGTTTTTGGTGGTATATTTTGGATATATGGTAGGTGATTGGAGTGTGTTAAATTTCGACTTTTTTATAATTGTGGTACTAGTCAATATGATAGACCTGACAACCATGGACCACGACGAATAAATCTATAATATTAATGAATAACCAAATTATACAGTATTATATGGTCGGCTGAGTATTATAATAAATATTCTATATCCACCTTTTACAAAATATTTTTTTAATAAATGAATTCTGCAGTGGAGATCTGGGTAAAGCGATTAACGGAATAACAATGTTAAAGCAAATAACTTCGTAACCTTTGAGCATAAAGACTTTAAATTTGGTATGAATATCTATTTTTATATCTAATTTCTTACCCATGTTCATCTTTTGAACTTTTCCGGTTTGACATATTTCGCCAAAAACCCTTTTTTTACCCAAAAATGATAAAATTCACCCTCTAGTTTTTTTGCTTTTAGCATAATATATCATGGTTCAGAATTTAAAAGTGTATAGATGTTCCTTAAAGCCATATATATAAAATAAAATTTATCGGAAGTTTATAGCATAAATAGAAGTCACGCAATAACGATTTGAACAATATATATCACCTTGGGGTAAAGTTGCTATGGGTAAAACCGTTAAAATGCTCCGTCTGATTTGAACTGTATAAAGATAATTTTTACAAATCAAAGTCTACAATATATAAAAAGATACTTTTGTGCAAAAATCAAAATAAATAGGTTATTAAAGGGGAAGAATAATTGAAATGTACGATTTGCCTAAAATAAGCACATTTAAAATATGCTATTTTTGATATAATTTTTTACATTCCGGTATTGTATTGATTAGTTTTTACTAAAAGTAATGATTAGATGTCAAAATTGCAATATTTTGTTCAATTAAACAATATAGTTATTTTCAATTACATTTTAAGCACGCTGGAGAGGGTTAGCCACTTCACCCTGAGTATGGGGTAAAATGGCGAAAATGGCACACTTCACATAATTAATCACAGCTCCTAAAGTGTTATAGGTAGAGAACTACACTATTTTTTTTATTTTGTAGATGATGAATTTGATTACATTTTAATATATAATTTGATATGTTTTGTTTATGTTTCTAAATTTTATGGCAAAAATGCAAAATACTAGTTTTACCCCGATCTCCTACTATATTCTTATATATCAAAATAAAATTGTTAAAATTTAATTAAGAATAATTCTATTTGCATAATTACATTGTTATCTATTTCAAATGCAAAAAAAAATTTTTTTTATGTCCTAAACAATATAAAAATGAAAAAATACTATAATACTCAGCCAATATTATATAATTGGGTTTTTTAAAAAAACCACAATTAATAAACCTAAATATTACTATTTTCAAAACCTAGTATATGGTGAAAGGGAAGTCCAAAATGTTTCACATAGAATTATAAATAAATATATATTTTATTGCCCGATCAATTTGAAAAGTCAACTAATTAATAATAATGTATTCTAATATTTTTTTAAATAAAAACAATATTTATAGGTTTTATCAATCGTCGGGCCTACAGACATTTTTTATATATGAAAAATTTATCCTGGATTAATAATAATTTCATTTTTCCTATTTTTAGAAATAATGATTTACAAAGAAAAATATTTGTGTAATATTATGTTTATTATAAATAAAATCATTTAATTTAAATATTGTAAATCTTTAATATTCATTTTTTTAAAATAAACATTGTTTATTTAATAAAATTCATAAATAATAACATTATTTTAATAATTTAGCCCTATCAAAGTTTATTCGATATACAATTCGAAAAATTTGAAATGAATATCTAATAATAATTTTTAATAAAATTTGACCAATAAATTTGATGCGAATTACTTGTTTAGTAATTATTCGTTACCTGACAAGATAAATATTTGAAAATATTCATAATTGATTTAAATAAAAATCACTTTAATCAAATAGAGATTGTGAAATCAAAGGAGAGAAAATCGGACTCATCTACAACTTGCTAACTAAATAAAATTTACTATCTGCTACCGACCCTGGGTAAGATGGCAATTCCTTCGGAGTAAGATGGCAAATATTAAATATAACTCATATAATTAAAACAAATTATGAATACTTTAAAAAAGAATTAGGCGTCACAAAGCACATATAAAATGAATAATCCCTGGCGTAAATGGAATACCCTCCTTTCACCTTTATCTTCATACTTTCTTCCACTCTTTGTATTTCAATGATAATCTTGTGTCATGCCCTCCCCCCCCCCTCATGACAGAAGTATCTGCTATCATGATTAGATAGTATTGGCTAAAGGCACATCAGCTATTCCTAGACTCACATCAGCTGTAAGACCCAAAGTGGTTTTATGTCTAAAATTATCATTTCAAAAATAAATTATCAGGATATAGCTAATAAATTTTTAAGCAGAAAACCCATCTAAGATAATTTATGGATATCTGCCCTCAGAAATTCTTGCTTAACATAATTTGTCATTTTACCCCTAGCTGACCCCATGAGTAATGAGTTGGTTTAAATGTGCTCTATAAATTTTCCTATTCTATCTAAGCCAGAAACCCCTGACTAAGTTTATTCGATATCTTAAACATTGTGAAGTCATAAAATTTCAATGAGTACTAAATAAATACCACAAATAAAGTTGATGAAAAAGTTTAAAAAATTGCTTTTGATCAATATTTGAATGTGGTGCTCCTACTACTAAATTTAACATTTTCTTAATATCTTTTAAGAAGTCGAGTGTGCTGAACTGTAATTCATTTAAGTACAAATGGACTTTCTTATTTATGAAGTTTATATAATTAAATTTAAACAAATTCATTAATAATTTTTTTACATATATTTACAAAAAAGTATATAAAAAGAAATTAAATATGATAAAAATTCCTTAATTGTAAAAAAATTCTTCCTTCAAAAGATTACTATGTTTTTTGTTTTTTTCCAAAAAAATCTACAATTATACTTTGGATATAAAAAAATCCTGGAAACATGTCTAGGCGATTTAAAAAAAATTTTGTCTTGAAATGGCTTTACAATAATATAAAAATAATAATCCTATATGTGTAAATGAATAGTTGAAAAATACTTGCTAAATATTTAAATTTAAGAAGTTTCACGAATTGAAATACTTTTATTAATAGAAACATATCCAAACTAATATTTTCTAGTTTTTTTAAACCACATTTTTAAAAAGTAAATAGTTTTCAAATTATTGAGAATTATTAAATATAACTATCAAATATTTTTAATTTTTTTTTATATAAAATTATCTCCTTGAGATTATATAATTTATTAACTTTAATTTTTCATAGAATTTGATTATTATAAACTTCTTTTAATAAACTTACGATTGAAACATTTATTATACTATGTTAGCAAGATTCTGTTTTTACCTCTACATGCTTGCTATGTTTTGACATCTTAAATTTTAAAACTGAAACTTTACTAAGTAATTGCCTTATATATATTACTTTTTGTTATACAGCCCTGGTTGAATCTATCCTAGTACATATACTTTTTTGTACTCGGTTTGATTCGAACATTAATTTTAAAATATTTCGGGAATAAACTTTTTTTTATTATCCTTGAGCGTTCATTAAGAGCTTAGTTAAAATGTGAAATATTTCGATCTAATTTTTTTTAACGCAATTATAATATTTTACGATAGTAATGAGTCAATCGATGCAATAAGAAATTTCAAAATTATTTATTGCTCCCTTTTGGTCGTTTACCAATTATCCAATTCATGGTCTCGATCAATCATTGCATGAATTTATAAATAATGTGACAAATTTGGTCCCAATTTCCAAAAGAAGCGATATCAAATACAAATCGAATAAGGTTATATGTATACATATGTATGAAAAAATAATCTTTAAAACCCTATAAGACATTAATTATTATATAATAGAGGTGGGCGCGGGCCGTGAAATTACGCGTGACCCATCATGTCACGGCGTGAGTGTGAATAAATTTTCAATTCTAAGGCGTGACGGTCCTTTCCAAAATTTTCCCCGGGCGTAAACATAAATTTCCTGTGAATCACGGAAATATTGATTTTTAAAATTGTTTTATTTTATAAATATAAATTTGCAATTTTATAATTATATTGTATGTGCATTTAAAGATGACGAAACGCTAGCATGTATATGCCATATACTAAATAATATATGCATTATATTTTTGACAATTGTTTAATTGAAATAGCCTTAAATATAAATGGTGTAAGAAAAATAGTACAATATTTCAAACAATCTACAGCTAATAGCAAACTAAGCCACACTCTTAAACAAGATGTAATAACGAGATGGAACTCTATATATCATGATATACAGAGTTCCTTAAAATCATATTCTGAAATACAGGGGCACTTGTTTAGCAAGCAAGAATTAAATAGATTCATCACAATTTATATCAGCATCATACGCGAGTTAGATAAATTTTTATCAATATTTAAAGAATGCTAGGATAATCTGAGAGATTCTCATCCCACAATAAATGAAGTTTTTCTATGAAAACAAAAATTAGTAAAATTTTGTTAACCTTCTGTACGTGATACAATAATAATCAAAACCTTAAAGTACAGAACAAGATTTCTTTTAAAAGTAAGATTTATTATTCAGCCATTACATAAGGTATGCATGCTTAATTCTAGATCCGAATTTCAAAAGACTTAAGTTTTTAGAAGAAGAAAAGGATGATATATATAAAACAATTTTCAAAATGCTAAATGATATAAAATTAGATGATATGCATAGGTCGATGCCAACTATCATTTATAGCTTTTATAACTTATCCTAATCTTATAAAGCCGTATATTCTAAATGGTCAATACCAACTATCATTTATAACTTTCCTAATTCATCCTATAATTATAAAGACCGTATATTCTAAATGAAAAATTTAGAGAATTTCTAGATGATTCTGATGAAGCATCCATATAAGATAAATAACAAGACAATATTTTGAAGTTTTGGAAGCAGAAATATTCATTTTCTTTTTTGAGAAAATTAGCTAGTAAAATTTTGTCAGCTCCTACAAGTTCGGCTTCTAGTGAAAGGTTATTTTCTGTAGCCAATCTCTTATTAGAGGAAAGGCGTACACAATTGAAATAAAAAAAATGGACATTCTTCTTTTTCAAAATAAATTTCGATTTATAGATTGTATTTATTTTTTGTTATTAATATGGATTATGAAATTAGAGAAATAAATAGAATAAATTCAAAAAAGTGTAAAATTATAGCAATAGTTTTGAAAAATTTAAAAACACCGTGAATTTTCGGGCGTGAATCAAAATATTGCTTTTCGTGAGCGGGCGGGTAGGAACAAAAATTTTTTAGTGGTAAGCGTGAATTTTTTTATCGTCAAAAAATTAGGCCCGCGCCCACTTCTATTATATAATAACTAATTATATAAATACTACCTTTTTTGCAAATTAAAATAATCAGACTAGGTCACAGATGCTACTCAAAAACAATTTATTTTATGACGCTATCTAATATTTTAATAAATAGATAAATAATCAACGCTCAACACTATACATCATTACCTTACTTTTATTATGTACATAATTTTAGGGAATTGTAGAAAACAAAGCGTTGTTGTTTTAAAACCAATTATTTATAATGATTATTTAATTTTTGAATATTATTTGTTTGATTAGAAATTATAAAATATTTTGTCTTTAATAATTTTATTTATTTAGTTTAATACAATTTCGATTTTTGGAAATAATATGCCATCATCTTGTTATAAAATTATAAAATTTAAAAAAATATTCGAATGTTTTTACCTCTTAAAAAATAATTCTTACGCTAAAAGGAACAAGATTTTGTTATTTACTTATTTCTTATTCAAAAAAGGAAAAAGTCAAATCTAGAAATTTGATCAAAAAAAGTAGAAAATTCTCGTTCAAAAAAGAAAAGTAATAAAAAATGACAAGTCCCACATGAAAAGAAATTTTTTAAAATTATAACGTTTCTTTCTAAAATAAGTTCTAACCTTTTGCGATCTCCTTATTTTTATGTTTTTAATCTATTCTAGTCATCTTTTCCCAACTTTCTTATTTTTTTTTCTGATTTGTGATTATTTACTTTTATTATTTTTAGCCATATAATTTTCTTTTTTAAAAAATTACTTTATCCATGTCATCTCATCTTTATTGAATTCTGGATCTTTTTGCCATTTTTATTCATTTCCAATATATCACATTTTTAAAAGTAGATTATGTCAAAAAAAACTAAAAATTAATAGAAATTATACCTCCAAAAGTGGGTATATAATTCAGTCCTTATTTATACATACAACCCATAATAAATGTAATTAAAATTAACTTTCACGAGTTAACTTTTTACACCAAATTCATATTACTCCCATGTATTATAGAGGAAAACTTTCCCTATTAGGATCAACTATCATTTTTGAAAATTCTATAACAGGCCAAATTTCTTCTATCCTAGAACCTGTTAGTCTTTTTTTCTGGTGATGATAGTGAACTGACGGTAAAACCTTGATACCTTGGGTCATTAGCCAGGATTTTCTTAAAGGAGGATTAATTAATTTCTTCTAAGTTTCTCCTCCCAGATCCCCCTTTTAGCGAGGCTTCGACCCGCTTTTGTCTGGCCTTCATCCGGGTTCCTTTAGCCTA